AAGAAGGAAAGAAGGAAAGAAGGAAAGAAGGAAAGAAGGAAAGAAGAAAAATAGCAATAGCATTTAGATTTATATACCAATTCACAGTGCTTTATATCCCTCTCTAAGCAGTTTACAGACTCAGCCTCTTGCCCCCAACAATCTGGGTCCTCATTTTACCCACCTCGGAAGGATGGAAGATTGAGTCAAGGATTGAATTCCTGGCAGTGGGCAGAATTAGCCTGCAATATTGCATTCTAAGCACTGCGGAACCAGGAAGGTGAAGGAGAAAGGGAATAAGAGAGGAAGGAAGGAAGGAATAGCAATAGCACTTAGATTTATATATGGCTTCACAGTGCTTTACATCCCTCTCTACGTGATTTACAGAGTCAGCCTCTTGCCCCCCAAAATCTGGCTCCTCATTTGACCCATCTTAGAAGGATAGAAAGCTGAATCAACCTTGAGCCTGCAGTACTGCATTCTAACCACTGTGTCACTATGGCTGGAAGGAAAGAAGGAAGGAAGGAAGGAATAGCAATAGCACTTAGATTTATATATGGCTTCACAGTGCTTTACATCCCTCTCTACGTGATTTACAGAGTCAGCCTCTTGCCCCCCAAAATCTGGCTCCTCATTTGACCCATCTTAGAAGGATAGAAAGCTGAATCAACCTTGAGCCTGCAGTACTGCATTCTAACCACTGTGTCACTATGGCTGGAAGGAAAGAAGGAAGGAAGGAAGGAGGGAGGGAGGGAGGGAGAGAGGGAGTCAGGGGAAGGGAAGGAGGGAGGATGCAAGGAAGAAAAGGAGGGAGAATGAAAGGCTGAATCAACCTTGAGCAGGTGAGCCTCAAACTTCCAAACGATAGTCAGTCGGCAGTCAGCAGAAGTAGCCTGAAGTACTGCGCTCTAACCACTGCACTACCACAGCTCTAACATCTTGAGGGACTGTGACAGAGAAGAGGAAATTGACCTATTCTCTAAAGCACCAGAGGGCAGGAGAAGAAGCAATGGGTGGAAATCCATTGAAATCCAATCTGGAATGAAGGAGAAACGTCCTGACAGTGAGAACGATTAATCAATGGAACATCTTCCCTCCCATCACTGGAGGTTTGGAAAAAAAGACTAGACATCCATTTGTCCAGGATAGAATAAGCACTCTTGCCTTGGGAAAAAGGTTGGACTAGAAGACCTCCAAGGTCCCTAGGATTCTATGATTCTAAGCTTCTGCCTTTCAATAAAATGCTTAATGTAGTTGGGAAAGGTACCAGGGATTCCCTCTGATGTTTTGCTACCATAGACTAGCTAACATGGCTCTCGTCCTAGAATGTACATCATCAAAACTAGAATAGACACCTTTTCCCAGAATACTTTTCCAGCCCACCTTGTACATGCCTTAAAAATGGCTTTAAAAATGAAACACATTATTTGCAACACATCATTTGCCTTTGCATAAAATGCAAAAAAAATAAAAATAAAATGGACTCGTTTAATAGGCTTCTTTTGTTACAACAGCTGATCGGATTCCTAGACTTAAAAATAAAGCAGGAACCTATTATTTTTCCAGGTCTGGCAGGATTTTATCTCTTTTACAAATGGTCAAATTAATGCCCATCACGTTGTAGGGAAATTTTAAAAGGCCTGCCGTAAGATTGTTTAAAGGAATAGCTGTTGTGTGCAAGGTGAAGCAGTAACCATGCCATAAAAATAGAAAGTTGCATAATTTCAAGCCAATACCTACTGTCCTAATGGCTAGAAAGCTGTGTTTAAAATGGTCCAAAATGATGTTCACTTTATGTGTCATGTCTAGTTCAGTAGCTGCATGATGCAGTTGGAGATGAGCATGAGTTTGGGGCCATGCGGTTTCTGTCCTAAATGGGAGATGGGTGGAAGGTGCATTCCCCCCCCCTTCCCCCTGGAGTCCCAAAGGTGCTTTGTCAAGAAGCAACTGGACTTCCTGGGTTTTCTTTAAAGACATTTCACTTCTCATCCAAGAAGGTTCTTTAGCTCTGACTGGATGGTGGGGAAGGGAAGGATTTAAAAGAATGCAAACGACCAGCTGTCGGCAAATCCTTCCATTCCCCACCATCCAGTCAGAGATGAAGAAGTTTCTTGGATGAGAAGCCGAGGTGATATCCAGCTGGTTCTCTCTGGTTTGGGCGAACCGGTAGCGGCAGCTGCGTGAGACTCTGCCCACCCACACCAATGTAATGGGGGAGCACTGCGCATGCCCAGAAGGCGTTTGCGCTCACATTTGCCCAGAAAGTCCAGCTGCCTCTTGAAAAAACACCTTTGGGACAACTATGACCTGGATGACTGAGAATCTCTACAGACTTTCCCCCCCTGGAGATTTCACTAAAAGTGCTGTTGTGCCTTGTAGATATTAGCTGGAGCATTGGCAGCACCATTCACTTCCTGCTGAAGGAAACCGTGTCTTCTGCTATGGCTGCCATTAAGGGCAGGGTGCAAGGTAAGGAAAAGTCTTTCCTTCTGCTTTTACTATTTTTCCTCTTCCTTTTTCTTAATGCAACAGAGTCCTGTAATGGGTAGAAGAAATAATCTTGAGGAGCAAGAGGGAGAATGACAATCAAGACAATGGTAGAGAAGAGCAACCTGAGTCTTGGGTAGAAACGTAGTTTGAGAAAGAGCCTCAGAATTGACTTCTCCTTGTTCTCACAAAAGTGAGATAATTGTATTAATAACAGTGAATAAAAGTTGGAATTAATCTTCATGATATCTAGCCTGGTCTTCCTTGGGGGGCTGATAGCAACTTAGCTCAACCTCTTACTGGGATGGGATAAACGGCTCCTTAGTGTGGCTAGGCTGGCTAGGAACCCTGGGAGTTGTTGTTTGACACACCTGCTGAGCATCGGACCAGGGAAAGTAGGTCTGGGTTGGCCATACCAGGATTCACTCAAGGCAGCTCTTTCAGCTACCCTCTTTGATAGGGGGAACAATTTCCCACTTGGTTAACAGTGGGAACCTTTTCAGAAAAGACAATGGAAGGGCTGGAGCAACTTAACCGCGGGATATTTTCAGGAGAGACAATTAAAGGGCTGGAGTCATTTGTAGTGGGAAAACATGGCAACATCTTCTGGGATGCCTGTTGGAGTGAAGGCAGATAAAAGGAGACATTATACAGATAGATAAAAGAGGGGCAGAGAGCACTTTCTCTTTCTGTCTCTTTTGCAACTTGGGGGCATTCATTAAAACTCCAAAGGGAGATGCCAGGCAGATAAATAGAAGGGCAGCTCCAAGTTAAGCTAGGGAGTTTTCTGCCATCAGATGGGAGGATAGCCTGGGGGTTGGCCTTGGCAGGACTTATTAATCTAGATCGGGGCTGCATGTTACCTACTAATTAAATAAAAGGAACGTAAAAAGAAGTGCCAGCTGTTAGGAAATCAGGTATTTTGCCTTTCATCTGCTGTCCTGTGCTTGTCAGATCCTTTTAATGCAGGCTCTTGTGCCCCCCTGGGCCAGAGGGATCCAAAAGAAAGATATACAGTGTGTGTGTGTGTGTGTGTGTGTGTGTGTGTGTGTGTGTGTGTGTGTGTGTGTGTGTGCATAGATGTAGATATAGATACAGATACAGAGA